CAGAACGTAATAACCGGACATTCCTCCGAAATATCCGGATCGACAGATCGGAACGCAGGAAAGAAAAGCTTTCGAAGGTTTCGTCGGTTACGAGCACGCGGCCGATGGATCCAGCCTGATACGTGTCTGCGCGTACCGAGCGTATCCGGTTCGCCTTTGGCTCTCGGCGCGGAGAAGAGTGTTCTTCGTGTTTCTGATCGAAGAGGAAACGTAGACGACGTAGACCGAGAAGGTGCGCGTCGAGTGCGTCGCGTCGCGAAATGCGAGTTAAAGGGACGGTAGACAAATGAGCGGAGCGTTCTACATAGATCCCTTCGCGAAGATTGGATCGAGTTTCTCGCATCGTGAGAGAAAAGAGTAACAGCGCGGGCTTCCCGGCACCCTGTGCACGTTCGCAAGCTTCCTCGGCGAGCCGTCGCGAAACCGAACCGAGCGAAACGAAACGAGAGAGCGGAAGAAAGAAGAACGAGAGGAAAAGAAAAGGGTGATCTTTCTCCTCGCGAGAGCTCCGGAATATGTGTCTGCAAGGGCCTATTATGCGAGAGTGATAAATCGACGGGCAAGGCCGTCAGGAATCTCGATAAGGTACCCTAACCCCTTCTCCGTTCTCCATTGGGATAGCAGCCCGCGTTCTTCGTCTTCCTCAAGCTCATCCCAAAGCACGAGGTTGTTTAAACTATCGGCCATCGTTGTCCATCTAGATTTCTTTTTGTCACTTGCGTCTGCTATGCTCTTACTTCTCAACGGGGCATCGTCTATGGTTTTTCTAATGCCAAGGGCACACGATCATCCCAAAAATCGCCAGGACGGAAACTGGGGCGTCCGTTTTCCCAGTTCGTGTTTGCCAAACGCGGCTGCAAAACGCACAAGTACTCGCAGTCGGTCGTCCTCGAAGATTGCTCGCGTACAAGATGAAAGATTCTTCGGATCTCCAAGAGCCTGACGTATCTCGGTAATCTCGAGTAGGAGTCGTGAGGACGGTGCGGCGGATAGAAACGGATATGAACGATCGTCATAACGGGCTTCTTCGCGTGGGGAAGCCGTGGAAACGGGAAAGGTGACGAGATAAGGAGTCGCGCCAGTGGTCCCGGAATCTCCGCGAACGCCACGGGTCACGGTGCGCGGGTAACTCGTGTAACTCGAAACGACGAACCCGGAGTTGCCCGTTACCACCATACCGCCGCATCGTTTGCGCTCTCTCCCTCTTTCTCCCTCGCTCCCTCCCGCCCCGCTTTTCTACGTTTTTATCGCTCGTTCCTCTTTGCCACTAAATGTGCCGTTATACAGCGAGAAGGGCAACGAGTACGGGCAACACAACGGAGGCAGTCGGCGTATGCAACAACGACGAGCTACATCGCTGATGCGAAACGTATTGCCGGGCTGGCCGTGTCGGGTCGGGTCGGGTCGGGCCGATTACTTAGGATTAGCACGCGCCTACTTGCGAAGAATAGAGTGCCTCCTTCCCTTTTCTTTCCTTCCATTTCCGTGGCGAGAGCACCCTGAGAATCCGATGCGAAGGGGATGGCAACAGGAACGACGTTCGACGCGAAAACGAGAGAAACAGCACAGAAATGCAAGAGAATGAAAACGAATGGAATGAGGAAGGAGATACGAGAGTCTCGTCCGATCGCCGAGTAAAAGAGAGTTCGTGCGGGGGAGAAAGACGGGGCACGGACAGGAGACAAAGAGAGAAAAGCGACAGACTTACAAACAAATACACGAGGCGATACACGAGAGCAAGGATCTCCCTCTCCTTTCTAGCATCTTCTGCGCAACCTTTGCGACGCTCGGGTTCCCGGGTGAATGCAAATGAGACAACCGGGGTACCGGTTAACCACCTCTGCCACCGGGGAAGACGTTCCGACCATATCCATCGTTCGCATCGTCTCCGCTCGGGACGATCGATGACGTTTCCACGAAAGAATCCGCTTGAAACAGCCCGCGCCTATGCGGATACAGGCGATTATTCTTGCTCCCGATTCAGATCCGTACAAGCCGCTGATTCCCGCGACTCGCAAAATTCTACGTATCGGACACTTCGCTACCTTCCGTGGCCGGAACGTGAGAACCCCGTGGTCGCAAGTTTTACGAAGCAACGTGAAACGGTACAATGGAGCAGAGAGTAGTGCGAAGCGTGTTCGCGCCATTCCGCTTCGCGTGGATAGAATTCACGCGGTCAAGAGCGTGGTAAACGGCGTCAAAGTGGCTCGCCGCGCGTATCCCTCTGCGCGACATTCCGAGAGGAAAGCTCTGCGCTTCAACGGCAACCGCCTGGCGTCCCCGGGAACTTTATGGCTCATGAATGAAACATAGGCTTAACCGTATATCCGCGGGGCTACGTGCTGCAACGGTGGCTTAATGTATGCCGCGATCGCGAAAAATGCCGAACCGATAAATAGAATTAAGGCGGGGACCAGTGCCGTGGTCTTTGCAAGCGTCTCGATATCACGAACACGACGCGACCAGCGGAGCGCACGGCGATACGTACACCCGCATACACCCGTTATACTCGCTACACACGTACGACCGATTCCACCAACAATACTGCCGCAAGATTTCGCGATCACGTGGAAAGAAACACGTTGCCGAAACGATACCCGAGCGAAACCGGGTGAAAGCTGATCGAGATGAATCACGAGGATCGATGGATAGCGAAAAGTGGTGCATTTATATACGCGGTACGTTTCCGTATGCCGGGACAACTGCTGCGAACACCTCGTGAATCGTCTGCGTTCGCTGAACATCTTGACGTGGAAACACCGCGAATCCATTAACCCTTCGGACACGACCAGACCCTACGCGTTACGTAGAACACACGTAAGAAATGTGGGATGTAGTACGGTATGACCCACATAATGAAACGAAATTTTGAAAACCCAAATATAAAGGTTTAGATGTAGGTCTTGATTAGTTTCTCAGATGCTTACCGTCTAATTGTAAGATTAGTATTTTTTTTTTGTTTTTTAACTAACACTAACCAACTCAGATCGGTAATAGATAGGTAGTAGTAGAAATACACGTGTAATTTTATTTACTTGGGCTTTATACACACTTGCTAACGCCCACGAGCGGCGACGACCGGGAGAATTCAATGTATTGTACAGAAACATTTTTTTTTAACTTTACATTTAGGGTTCTCACTCCACCCCCTTCCCCCCTAAAAAATTTCGTTTCATTATAGCGTCTGGGTCATACCGTACTGCAGCCGAAATGGGAATGCTAGAATAACAATAAGCGGAAGATGACAATCGAGTGTGGCGCTCGGAAGATTGAAACATCGACCGGAGGTAATATTTCAGAATAGCGACGGGTGGTTGTAACTGCGCGACTATCGGCACGAATGACGCTACCGGAACGCGGCGAAAAAAGTTGTCGCGTTAAGTTTGATCGGGCCACTAAAAATACAGACGGAATCAGGTATAACGCTAAATAGAAGGCGTACGGGCCGACCTCTGGTCCACACTCGGAAGCGAGTGTCCCCGAACGTCGTAAAGAGCAGGGCCAGAACCCTCTCGCCTCGGCCCACTTAACCGCTTAATGGCGGGTCAAGCGGCAATAACGCCGCCAAATAATCATAAAAATGAGGTTGGTAGCTACGCGGAACCCCCCGTCGCGTTCGTAGCGCCGCGTTAACGTCCTCCACGGCGACGGTGTATCTTATGCGGGGCCTTCGCGGGGGCCTGCAACGATACAGCTGTTCGAGTCACGGATCTCGGCAGACCGTGCCAAATAAATCACCGAGCGAATTTCCATTCGCTCGTTTCGTCCCCGCACCGGGCACGCGCGCGTGCACGCGGCGTTTCAACTTTACGCCGCATTCTACATACGTATGTGTACCAACATTGAAAATTAACTCGTCGAACAGTTGATCTACAGATTGAAAAATTGTTTTCGGCTACCGTACGCCTTTTGTCTTTACCACCAACGAAGGTGGGAATAGGGCGGGGCAGAAGGACAAATACGCAATTTACCGGGGAAGAAACGAAGAAGCGTGGTCGAGATTCCAACAGCACACGGTGTACCCGGAAAATCACGCACCGTACAATATTGGGGGTGCCACAGTAAAGAGATCGCCTTTGCTACACACGTCTGACACGTCCCCAGATACCAGTACGACGGACATTTCCACGTCACTCTAAACGATCCACAGGGCACACTGCCTGTCATTATTATTATTATTTCCAAGTGCGTTTCATTGCATTGCGAAGCTTCCGCTTCTCTAATCCTTATATCGAATGCAGGTCTCGTGATGGAACGAAGTAAACTGGATCGTCCGCTCTGGATCGAACTCTCGCAGTTTCCCCGTTGGACGCGTCCGTGTGCGCAACTTATAATAATCGAACCGTGGCAGTAACCAGAGGTTACGTATCAAACGAGAGAAAAGGAAGAGGGACTACCCGAGGGCTCCAGCGATGCCGGTCGATGCGGTGCCCCCGACGATTGGTTCGATTTAATAAGCATATCACGAAACTCTATGATTATACGAGAGATCGCGAAAGCGTCGGGCGCCGAGCCTGGATCATCTTTATTTCCAATTAGATCCACGCTGGAGCGGAGGGGGGGGGGCTCTCTTAATTGACGGAATACTGAAAGAAGAAAGGAAGATCCGACCGCACGGGAATTATTTTTAATAAGAAACCCCAGACACGTTTTATCGTTCGCGCGGACGAAAATCGAAACGTTTCCCAACCGATAGGTCGTCCACAGTATGACTACTAGTTACCACAGGAACAGACCAAATTCACGCAAAGAGAAGAATGACGGATTCGGAGAAATGGGAAATCGAGAGTCGCCACCACCCCCCGTCCTCGACGTGTCCGTTGTTCTCCCGTTACAGAAGGACAGGAGGCAGCGTTCTCGAAGGGGTAGCTCTATAATCATAATTTAGCCATAATTACATTTATGACCCACTTTACCCTCGTAAATTGTCCACGAAGATCGAGGCCCTCGGTCGTCGTTATTACGCGCCTCGGATACCATGGCCGATCCTCCCGAATCACTTTTTCTTCCTCTCTCTTCTTCTCCTTCTTCTTTTTCCCCTTCTTCTGCTTCTTCTGAATCTTCTGTTTCTTCTCCTTCTCCTTCACTTTCTTCTGCTTCTTCGTCGTTTCCTTCTTATTCTCTGTTCTTGCCGCGTATTCGACGTCGTTGTCGTCGACAGCGCCGTCTTCGTCCTCTTTTCGACCTTCCGAGGTTATTAAGATCGTGATTGGAAGAGGCGAATGGCTCGGTCGCCGGCCGATGCGATGCGATGCGATGCGAGAGTTCAGCCACCCCGAGTAATCGAGAACGGTGATAATCCGAGCACAGGGGAAACGATAAATTCCAGGTATCGATCTCTTTCCGAGGAACGCTAATATTCTCCCGAAAATTAGCGCTCGTGGCTTGTTTACGAAGGCTTCGGCACTGCCCACGGACGGCTGAGCCGCAAACGTTTCGGTTAATCGACGCCCCTTCCGTTTCTCGCACCGTGACGCTATTACACGGACCGTAATACCGGCGTGGAACGGCGAAACCGCGACGAGACAACGAGGGCACGAGATAGAGACGGTCCTTCTGGAAATTTCACGATTCGCTCGGCGAATCCACCGTAACCGCCGCACATCGAGGAGAATCGCGTGATCGAGGGTCGAAGTATATTCACCGAAACGAAACGGTACACCGACATCCGGCCTATCGAAGCAACGGAAATCGATGTGCTGTTCGGTGGTATTGTTGTTGTCGTCGTCGTCGTTAATGCGAACAAGTCAAAACACTCGGCGGATGAACGTTCTTCGGGTGTAGAAGGCGAGAGGCAAGACGAAGCAGCTTCGAATCGATCTCGACGCAAGAAGAGAGAATTCGTCGATCTTGCCGGAAACGGTGGGGGCTCGTTTTCGTGGAGGGCAAAACCTGAGGTAGGAGTGGACGAAGCCAGCACCGACGACTACCACTGCCTACCTACCTACCTACCTACCTACCTACCTCCCGAGTTTCTCGACTTACCTACAGGAGGTTGTTGCAGCATGGTTGTTGTACTCATACCTATCGGCTACCCGCTCGTTACCTTGCCCCCACGACAAGGCGTTGTGCCCGCGATCCTGCCAGGTCCGTGTTTCCTCATCGACAGCAGCCAGCCAGTCAGCGAACCGTTCACCTCTTTCAAAAACTTCCTACGTAATGTCAACCTACGACGACGATTATCGTGGTCTCACCCACGAACCACGAATTTTCCAAACATTTCCGTGATACCTTCTACACACCTTTCTTCAACTTTTCTCTTTCGTCCCCCTTCGACGAGGGTTCAAGGAGAAATACGCGGCCATGGTAAGATCAAAGGATTTTCAGACAACGACGAGGACTACGCCGCGACGACCGTTTCCTGATCGAAGCCGCTGGAACGTGACTCGTTTGCAAATGATCGAGGCATCGGGAAAAAAAGTGCGAGGAAGACATTAGGCATTTCTCGCCTCTCGAATCTCGAGCGGTCAGGGACGAATTCGCGCAAATTTCGTAGTCCGACTTATGATTAGTCGCGACGCAGCCCATCATTACACGTATTACCATCTCTCGCGCCTTTGGTCGAAGGCTTCCGATACCCGGGCACGAAGCAACCAGCGCGCATACATTCGGCTGGACCGAGGGCATAGATAATACGGGAGCGCCGACGGATAATTTTACAGTACGCTCGAAACTTTTCATGCGATACGAACCGTCCGTTGCGTAGCACCGAGCAGCCATTACGTTATCCTTAACCGTCGCGTCGTCGGATTTTCTTCTTTGCCCATTCGATCGAACAAACGACCGATCGATCGGTTGGTTACCCATAAATTGTACCGAAGATCGTCCCGAATTTTAACTGAATACACTCGAAATCAATCGACCGCCCAGCGGAATTTTCAATGGATCTTGGTAACGAATTCTCGTAGACTGCAAACCAAACGTATCTACTCTGTTCCTTTCGGAAACGTTCTAACACGAATTGCAGTGCCGTAGAAACGAAGAAACCGAGAACATTTGTTGGATCATTAAGTCCGTTCGTTATTTATTTGTTTCTCCGGTTTTGGTTCATTCGAATTGCTCATTCGCGCGGGAAAAAAAACTCTCTGTTGACCACAGGCTACGATGCTGGACCTTGTTGTGGCTTGGTTCAGTGTAACCAGTGGTGCATGATACATTGTAACGTGGGTTATTATTTCCCGATGGTCTCCTCGATGAAAACGATATTCCCGCCTCCCTTCGTCAACTTACTCTTGTTCGGCTGCCTAATTGCGCGGCGATAAAAAAGAAGGATCTCTCGCGATAGTCATGCCGCACCGCGCCGTTCTAGGAACGGTTCCTTGTTTCGTTAAAACTGAATGCAACCAGCCCAACAAAATTGGCGTCTGTCGTCGGTCACGAAAGCTCTAACAAATGCCCAGGAGAAGTCCATTTCGAGTGACTGGCTGGCTCGCAGGGACTCGCTAACAAATCGTCTGTCGTCGTGGCGTGTAACCTGCCTGCCATTGTGACAGTCGCACTGTTAAGCGGTAATAGTAGACAGGTTATCGGCAGCTGTTACAACAACTCGGACCTTTACGTAACGACCGGTGTCAGTTGGTGCGAGTACGCTTCGCAGGGGTCTGCCAGTACAGCTCCGGCCTCCGTTCGTAGGTAGAGCCGCGGTGGCTGATGGTATCGGGCTGCGCTCCCCACCGGAACCACCGCCGCCAGACGTACCTACTACACACTTGCTCGTGACAAGGACGATCCCCGGCGTGCGTTCCAATACCATCGCCATTATTACGGGGATCAATTTTGTGGGTCCCATGTGGTACAAGCACAGACGAGAAAACGTATCGAGTTCCGATTATAAGATACTAAAGAACCACGTTCGGCGAGAAACGGTGGTATCGCATCGTTACCGCGTCGTTACCCCACGGCACTGGCGTCGCGTCGAACAGAAGGTGGACATTCCAATTAAGTCGATTCTATATCGGACTGGCCATCGCATCGACCAGCCGCGTTGTCAGTGGCCACGCGGGACGACAACAAAGAGGCGAAATGACCGAACACGCTCTACCGTCGCGCTGCGTATCGCAGTGACACGAAAAACAGAGACAGAAAAACACGCGTGTAGGTATACGCTCGGCCGACTATGTACGCATTCTATTAGGTATATTATTAACACGGCGCGTACGAGGCCGATCATGCACGGGGCAGATTCCCTTTTACGAGCGCAGGGGTATCATCCGGAGCATCATCAACGACTCGCTCACGGTACGCTACCAGAGGAGGCTACAGGAGTGATTTTTGCGTGGGCAACGGTCGTTCCAATAAAATTCGAACGGCAGACAATTTTCGATTACGCGTGATCTCATTAACTTGCCCCGTAGACGTCCGCCTCTTCCTCCTTCTTCTCGTTCGCCTTGCCCCTCTTTCCTCTACCCTTTTTATGCCTTCTGTTCTTTTTCGTTCAGCCGCACCTCCACGGATTTCAGCTTCACTGACGCGGCCCCCGTACGCTCGAGGTCGGGGGACGATCATTATTTTAAATTCGCTCCAAATATTGCTACAAAAAGCGCATATTGCATTTTGCGGTGATCGGCCGAACGAAGTGGATGTTCGTGAGGCCGTCGGTCCGCCTGACGATGGACCGCTTCGAGTCGCGGAGGAAACGAAACGCTTGTATGCGCTCGGATCGTGCGACTCGTGTGTACGCGAGCGAGCACACGTCGCGTTGTGTCGCGTCGATGTCAAACGAAACCGCGGGCGGCATTAACCTCCGACGTGGAACGGACAAAGACACGTAGATCGGCGAGAACCAGTGATTTTTCACGAATGGCACCGTAGAGCCAGAGACCGGGAGATGAAGAGGGAGGAACAAAAGATGGGCAACGCATGGTACGCGAACGTTACGCGAGTAAAATGGCGGTACGCGAGATCGCAGCTTGGTTGCGGTGAGTCAAGGATATCTACCGAGGAGCGAGGAGCAAGGGGTAAGAAAGGGGAGTCGCGAATACGGTGCAGAGAAAGAAGAAGAAGATCGACGAACGCGCGTCGAGATGGAAGAGAAACGAAAAGACGAGGCAAGGTGACGACGGTGGTGGAGGAGGTGGTGGAGGTGGTGGAGGTCGTGGAAGTGGTGATGGTGGCAATGGTGGCTGTGGCGGCAGCAGGGAGACCCGGCAGAAGCGGGAGGTGGCTTAAAAATGAAGTAATATGGTAAAAATATGGCGGGCAATTTTCAAGAGAGACGGAGCTAAGCCTGTTACGCGGCAGTCGGCGAGACACTGACGTAGCTGGTGCAGCGGTGCTGTACGAAGAGGGTAGCACGCGCGTTTGTGTGCGAGTACGTAATGTCGGTAGGCCAAGAACTCACGGTAGATACGCTTCACTCGATCCGGCAGCGTAAAGATGGTCGTCCAAGATAGCGTAAAGTTAATAACGAACGGCTGGATAGACGCAGACACGGACGCGAGCGCGAACGCGAACGTGGACACAGACGCGGTGCACGAAGGACGGACCGAAAGAGGGATCCTTCGCGGCAGGACGATCAAAACCACGGGAGGTTTTTTGCTTTCACGTTCGTCATAGCTGACCGCGTAAACGTGAAATGCTTGCGAGCGTGTAAAATCACGATCCACCGGGGGATACCGCTGCGCGACGTGTACGAGATCTCTCGGCGACGTAATGGCGTCCCGACGTTGGATTACGCGGCTCTGACCTTAATAGGTACATACATATGTACATATTAAACGTAAAATACCCTCGTCGAGCTCGAAATCGATCCAATGAATCGCCTCGTTTCCTCTCGCATACCTCGCATCCGTGGTTACGCGCTGCTCGGACGTTCTGATACCATAAAAATCTACCGTTGGAATCTTATCTATATTATACGGAATTATATCTCTTTAACAAAACGTCTTTTCACCCATTATATACATTTATTTCAAAAGATTCAACATTTGATCGACAGCCGGTGCCAGTCCACGCGATACTACCGAAAACCTCAGCAAAAAGGACATAATTCTGTACCTTTCGAGTACACTCAGAAATTCAGCACAGTCAAGGTGAACCTTGCACGTGTACGCGTCGCCCTGAAAGAAAAGTTTCTTCCACCATGACATCCTAGAAACGCCAAAGGATTTCTCCTCCATCTCCTCCACCGATTAATTCACAGCATTGTAGCAACCGCTGCCACTTCGACTCTAGCCAATGAGGCAAAACGTACATTTCCATCACTTCTTCGCTTCGTCAGAAAAAGCAGTCTACCTCCTAGCTTACGACCTCCGTTGATTACAACGGTCTCATCGTCCGCGCGAAAACATCCGTTATCAGCCATTAGATAGCGTACGTTAATACGACGTCGTACGACTTACGTTAATACAACGTTCGGCATGGATGCATCGCAAGGAAAAAACCTGTTCTGGCTAGCCATAAACGCGTTTCACGCGTAAAAATTGCTAATCTAATGCGCACCGATAGAAACGACTGGGAGACTGCACACGCGATCGTCTTAATAAAGAGATAATTAATGACGGTGGCCCTGGGAGGAGTAGATAAAACCGCATAATCTATGGCCGATATCGTGCTTTAACCCGGTCTGGCCAGACCGTCCGAGAAAATTCTACGAGTTCTCCCCCGTTCCTCTGGTCCTTTAATTATTCCCGAGACATTTCTCACCGATCGGAAGGCATAAATCGACGCGTGCGTTTTCGCGGCTGCTGGCACGCACGCGATTACAAACCGCCTAGAGTCTAGATTCTAGATTGTCTAGAACAACGTTCCTCGAACGTCTCGACGCGTGGCCATCGATCCGATCCACCGATACGTGCTGCCTCTTGTTCCCCATTCAACTCGTCTTGCCATTTCGAAGGCTGTTCGTCTCCAATAGAAATCCGTGTCGATGCGTCTGCCACGGCTACGGAGAAAGGTCGTATGTACGTACACGAATGCTCGGACACGGTCACACACACACACCTTTCAGCATCCCCGTCGTGTCGAGAAGATTCCCCGCGGAATCGTTCGAGCGTTGCGACTGCGTGCAACACAAGTACGCGC